TGATATTTCAAAGTATGAATATACTTCTCTGAAAACACAAATACAAATTATGAACAACTTATTTAATATTCATACGACCTGATACACTACTATGTAAAGAGATAACAATAAGAGATTATAACAAGTTTGGATTAAGGCTGGATCTAGCGAGCCTCAGGGCGCTTAGACAACTAGATAATTTATCGTCAATTCAGCCGTTTTTACGAGATTTGACAAATATTGTGAAGTTGTTTTGATATGGTTTACTCTATCCAAAATATCGATTCAGAAAAAAAAAAAAAAAACGCCGGGGAAAATGCACCGTCCTCCCGGTACCACGTGTAGAAAGACAACATTGCTGGCTATCCCCACCCACCCGACATAGTTGCCAGCGTTGTGGTTGTTTACAAATCATATATTGAAAATAGTTATGTAATGATTGTGAAAAACGCCATGGGATATAATGGACTTAATGGCATGTGGTGACTGCGAGTATTGGTCGCAAAATATCTGGGCTTGCCCCCGCCCAAAAAAACGCATGACGATTCATATCATCTGGATTACGCATAGCTTCTCTGCGATTCACGCTCCGTATATTTTAAGCGTAGCTTTGACCCCCTCCCCCGAATACATTTTGCTGGATCCGCCAGTGCAAGGAAAAATATTTTGTTGTCAGCGATTCTTCAATAATGCTCCACTACCTGGAATAAAAATATTTTTTTTTCTCCAAAACGAAATTGATATTGATGCGGATGTTTTGCCGCCAACGAAACACAGATTTGACAGCCATATTTCCACTATTACTCCCGCCATTACTCTTGTCACAGCATAAGACTGGATAGTCTACCGACATCATAATGGACCTCTATCCACTGAACATCAATTCGAGTGATCCAGTGACGTGTTTGTCTGAACAGTACAGGGCTAACATTGTCAGTAGATTGAAAATGAACAATGAAATCCGCTAATGCAATGAATAGTTGGACTGCCGTCATCGTCTTTGTGCCATCGGCCCAGATAACCGCTTTAAAATATCGATGTGCTTATAATTTTAACTAATCAATCCTTTATCTTGGACTGCCCAGCAGTGGACAGTGGTTGGATGATTCTAATCATTTATTAGCATTCTGCAATATCGCATACCTTTTGACAAGATGGCACCATGGTTGGCAGATAGTTTTTAATATTCTGCTGCCTACTTGGATGAGCTATCCATGAGCTATCAGTTGTATTGCCCATTGACAGAGCTCTTTGCGTAGCCATACCTTATCTCTGAACCGGCGCTGTTTCTGTCTGAGGCCAACATGTCACCATCATTTATTTCAAAAGATAAAAAAGATGCGTTTTTGATTTATTTACAAGGAAGTTTCCATGATTCAGAGAATACTGCTAGATGTCATTGATCATTGGAGAATATATGAGTTCTAAATTTGCATGTTGATAAGGCTGTTCTGCAAAACACTCCACGGCTAGTTATCGGAGTGAACGATGCCATAAGGTAGAGACAATGAAGAACCAAATATCCAAGTCTCTAAGTGACGACAAACGCAGATGAATTCACCGTCACGCTGTACCGAATAGGATTGATAAATCAGTCCGCAACGTTTCTATGGGAATAGATAGAATTGAGTATCAGAATCGTAATGTTGCCAAGCAACCGCTGTCAGCAGTGCTAAACTCCTTCAAAAAGCCCAAATATGTAACAATGAGCATGGCCTTTCCACGTGGTCCCATATGATGACGATGTAGTAGATCCAGACGCCATCTATTTCCCATGAATCTATTTGGGACAGATCAAAGGTCATATTCTTGACTTTGTTGTAGATCGTTAACCTCTGTTTTGTAAACACCATACAAACTATAGAATGCAGGTACTGTTAGTAACACATCTTGGTCTTAATTTTCTCGAAGGCTTGACCTGTCCCGCTTTGAGAGCTCCGGACAATGGGCGAATATACCCTAAGTCGTGCACCCAGAAGAAGCAAAAAGTGAAACGTATATGTATATTGCAATGCAATGACGGGTATACTCTGAATGGACCTCAATTACAGGCCTGCACCATAGAAGGAGAGTGGTCTGATGATGGTATAGAGACAACATGTATTGGTGAGTATTGCAATAAAGCGTGTGCTTGTCCCACAAAACGTGTCGATCTATAAACGCCCTACTTTGCAATACCCCTTAGAGAACGTGAAACCCGCGGGACTTGTTTTAACCAATTAAAAGTGCTCTATTCTCCCTCGTCATTGTATTATGTTTCCAAACAACACTATTTGAGGGGCAACATTTAGTCACGTCGATGTCACGCTCTCAATGAAATCTCGACAATTTGCATCGAAAGCTAATATATCATACCCGGAAAACGCTGTTCTGCGTGCATTCACGCTCTATCTCTCTCTCGCTAGCGCGCGCACGCGCTTACTCATACGCTCACAGTCAACTGTACGTTTCAGGGAAAAATTGTCTGCGAACATTCACTTTGAGTTACAGTTACTCACTCTGAATTGCATGCTTCTTGAAACATGAGAATGTCATTTTGTAATCAGGCTAGATATGGCCAGATATATATAGGTTGGATGTAATGCGAGTACAGATAAAGCCACCATAATACGATCTGTTGTTTGTTCGTTCGTGCAATCATCCCGAATTCACAATCACTCGTTATGTTAATATTTAAATATACATTATGCGTACTATTCTCACATGTTTGTTTTTACGTTAATTTACTTATATACTATCTTTCCCAGATGACGCACCACCAGATATAGAGTGTCCAGCAAGTATCACAACTGAGTCAGATCCTGGTCTCCCAAGTGCTCTTGTGCATTGGTCAACACCAGTGGTGTTCGACAACAGTGGCAAGGAGCCTGTACTAACTGTTGAACCAGCCGGTTTAAAATCGCCTCACAGATTCACTATTGGATCCACGATAATAACTACACAGCAACCGATGCAGAGGGCCGACACAAATCATGCAGATTCAAGGTTATTGTACAAGGTTAGAGAACCTAAATAAATATAAATTTAAAAATATTGTTTGATAATCGGTTGGTAATGTGCCCGGGTAATGCAATGTTACTTATGCTGTGTCCGTAATTTTCAAAGCAATTTGAGTGTTTAATAGGTTTAGGTTAATCAGTTAATGTTAGTAGAACTGAACATTTGTTTTTGGCGTTTGTTTTGTTCAATCAGATAACGAACCACCGAGATTGATCACGTGTCCAGACAGCATTAAACTTCAAAATATAGTCGAATCTGAATCACCAGTTCAGTGGGAAGAACCGGTTTTTCGAGACAATTCTGAGGAAGATATGAAAATTACACAGGTGAGATTGTTGCATACAGCTAGAAAGGGTTACAATGGACCCAGTCTGAATAAATTAACATCCTATTTCGGATTTTTTTAATTTATTCTTTTTTTTAAAGAATACGTATTTATTTTATAATTGTTTGCTGGTAGTTTTTTCTCAAGTTTTGTGACTCAGTAAGTGTAACGCCAAATAATATATATTATCAGACATCTGTCACCGTAGCGCCATATGTTACAGCGTGCCGTAATTTTGTGGTATTGCACTGGGTAGTTCATCCTACCATAATAGGAAATGCGAGTTCCAAATATGAAACGAGTACGCGCGTAAGCGTCCTCTAATAATAAAAACAAACATGGCGGCTCCAAGAGTTTTGGACCGGACTCCACACAAAAGAGTTCGCTAAATCTGTTCTAAACGTTTTGGATTTCGGCATCCATGATGTATCATTGAGAGGAAAAGATGTATAATACTAAGATTATTGCGAGGATACCGCAAAGTATTCACTCAGACAGTATACACCATTGCATCGGCCTCCGCTGCGCGTCGGTGGCACTCCCGCTGTACTGTCTTCGTGCATACTTTTTGGCATTCTTGTAATAACCTCATAGTACTATTAAACTACGTCTATTTAACAAAATATGAGAAATGCGCCCACCTGATAATGCGTATTCGACTCGTCATGTTGTTCACACGATGAATATTATACGGGTGGATATTGATATAATTATAACATATTTTTAGAGTCATGTATCCGGTGCTGTCTTTGTTTGGGGCCAACACACGGTACGATACTCTGCCGAGGATATGACTGGCAATGTAGCAGTGTGCGAATTTCAAGTACATCTTAGTCGTGAGTATTCATAATGAGAACATTGCAATATTTAAATAACGTATATTTAGAACGTCTGTGACGCTTTACGCGTAATTTGAATACATGCTGCGCTTTTACCACGGCCCTTTAAAGATGCAATTTGAAAGATAACATGTCTTTTGAATACAAATTTGATACTGTATATTAATGAATACATTGGACTATTTATATCGGCTGTTTTGCAGCATGCATCTGAGTATTCGTTCGATAATATCACATCTAATTGTCTAATACGCGTGTCTGTTGGTTGTTTCCGTACGTACAGTATAAATCACTGGTGGTTTTGATTTTTCGTTTAAAGAATACTGTTGTCTATCCTGCAATCGCAACATTTTCAGTTTATGATCAATCATAGCCGGATCTGGTCTGGTCAATTAAAAAAAATATATGTTTTCATATTCCATCTTTAATACATTATATTTGTCTTACGTTTTCAGCTTCTTCGTGTCCCTCGTATCCTGCGCCTATCAATGGTGCCACAGCTTGTGATGACTGGTTGTTCGGTCAGTTCTGTAGTGTCAGCTGCAACATAGAATATGAGTTTGCGAGTAAACCAGCGGAATGGTATATATGCGATGCTACTGGAAATTGGAGGACTTCTCCCCCGGCTCTCACATTACCCTGGCCTGACTGTTCAAGTATGTGATTTCAGATGACTTGGTGACAATGGCTTACGTTTTAAGAATGGGGTTACTTATCTCTAAACTTCCATAATGAAGATAGAATTTGACTATACAATGCTATATATACTTTGTGTTAACAAACTGAAATCTGAGATGAGACAAAATGCGTGATTGGTTGGCAATAAAAAAAAAATAAGCACCTGTGTACAATGAAACGCCTGACCTGCTTTCAACCAATCATTTGCGACTTGCAGTTTTGTGTGACGTCGGAGTGGGTAAATTGTTGTATGGCGGTAATTTTTTTGTATATTTTTGGGGGATTTGGTTGACATTTTTTTTTATTTCAATCTCTTATTTTTAATGCCACAAGGTAGGTAATTCCGAATATATATGATTTTTGCCGAGCCACAGGATTCGACATATTTTTGGCGTGAAAACAAGATATTAAAAATAAATAGAGAGGGGCCGACAATATTCCAATGTTTGATAGATGTTACAAATCTGTATGTTACAAACGACTGTGCACACAAATGCGTACTCAATCGTGTTGCCTTTATTTCTATATATTTTCACCATTTTCTAAATATAATTCCAGGTCTTATTTTACCATCTTTGTTTACCATTGCTAATAACACAAAAGTTTGGTATCTCTTTAGAACAAAACAAACTCATGTCTGATCTCTAATAGAAATGATGGAATGAACCGTTATTTGTTGTTGTTATTTTTATTCCTAGAGCGATATGTTGCTAAGGCGGCTCACAAAGGAATGAAACACCAATATTATACTGGTAACTGTAACAATCCAAAGACACAACAAATGATAAAAGAGCAATTCGTCAATGCTTTCAAGTTATCAGTTTTTGGAAAAAGTGGCGGTTGCAAAACCGTCGAGAACGCATGTGAAATTTCGGCTGTGATTGTCTATTGTGGTGCCATTGACAACACCTTACGACGACGACGACGACGTGATGTCAGTGACCTGGACAATGTTGTTACGATTGAGTTTTCCGTCTTGGTTAAAATATTAGAACCGACGGATGTAAGTATAAAGATACAATATGGACGAGAACATGTTATTTTTAAACTTGTTGTTTGAAACATTGATTTTAATATCCGGTCGATGAAACGTTGTCATTCTCTAATACGCATGCGCATAGGCTGTACAATACTAATCACTACATATGCATATTAGAGGATTTGATTGTTTATCTAACGAACACTGATGTATGTCCCTGGTATGTCCTGCAAAAGCAACATTTTCAGTTCATTGTAAACCATAGTCCGATCTGGTCAACAGTATGGAGCATCTAACAACAATATTAAATTATTGAAATATATATACAGATTGGTCCGTGATCGTCAGTTCCAGTTATTTCATTGGCTCGAATTAAAAAAACAAAGTGCTTAGAACTTTTCATAATTTTGGTCGTGATTTATTTCTCCCCATAGAGTGCCGTGTATTACCTCCGCAGTAAGTGTAAAATAACACGTTTGTCTAAAAGCAAAAATGTATTTCTTCGCATTATATGGCATTGTGGAGCAAAAAGTACCATATTCACAAATTATCAGCATTTTTAGAATATTTATGAAAAACATTATTCACCATTTCCCAAAAAACTGTAGTGGTCTTAAAGCGCCACGCGTCTCACATGCGACTCACTTCAAACATCGAACACTTCGAACATCGTCATCAATTAAAACGCCGCTGTCACCGAGAAGTGTGCGTTTGAATGTATTTCACACGCGTTTTACACGTGGCTTCCACGTAAAAACCTTGTACGTAGTGCGTATTGTGTACGTGCGTGGTACGGGACCCACATCGAACACGGCGCGGCGAGACGTTTATGGTGCTTTAATTTGAATGTATAACGATGTCTATTTCTCAAGGATGAAGAAGTCGCTGAGGAGAAACTAAATATAGTGTTTGACACTATACAAGACATAACGGTGGAATTCCGGAACCAAACTCTACAAGGACAACTAAGTCTAGATGTAGAAAATGAAACCCTGGTGGCGAATGATGATTATTTCGAAACCGAACCAACTGTACCAATGTGCGAAGATGGAACTATTCTAAGTGGGAAACGATGTGGTCAGTTTGCAATCATGTTAATTTACTAGCCTGACAAGGTCGCGTGAGTCGCGCCCTCCGCGGTGCTCCAAACTCAACACACTCAGATGCCGTTCGGCTGGCGAGGGCGCCACTCACGCCTACATGTCAGGCTAGTTAATTTACATACTGGATTATAATCGAATAGTAAAAACTTATTCGCACAAATATCGTTTTAAGTTGTTACTTTCTGTTATTTCAATTGCATGTGATGTATTTAAATCACTCTGTATTGTCGTATTCCCTCATTCACCCTAACTACGTGTTTTATTTATACATTTGTGCATGTGTTAGTGAATTGTCCGGTTGGTACGTACTATGATGTCATCAGTGGTATGTGTAGTCTATGTTTCCCTGGTTATTATCAAGACGAAGAAGCGCAATTAGAATGCAAAGCCTGTGACAACGGTACCTGGACTGATGGAGCGCATGCTAAAAACTATACGTCTTGCATAGGTGCGTATATTCTTAAAGCGAGGGAGTCGTCACCTGCGCATGCCTCAGATGGCCATAGCGTGTCCTTGTTTACAAACAAGCGTCTACCCATGAGCCTTTGCGTTTTTTGCGTGTGTTATCGCCAGTTGGAACTCACATCACGCGCGTGCGCAGGTGACGACCCTCCCGCTTTAACGTAATGTGAATCACGTGTCGAGCTACGTGTATGTTGCCATTTTGTTAGAAAGAGTAATGATTTTCGGGTAATGTATATTTTTCAATCTCAGACGTTTGTAATCCCGGTACGTATTCCGTAAATGGATTGATGACGTGCAAGTCGTGTCCGATTGGTACATATCAACCAATAAGTCGACAGACCGAGTGTATGCCGTGTCCAGAAGGCACAACTACATGGGTAGAGGGCGCCAATGCTCTGGAGGATTGCCAAGGTTAGTAGTTGAATTACTGCAATCGACAATTTGCGCCAAATTGGATGACGTATTCAGACAAAAATAATATGTGATATGCGCAGGTGCGATGCGTGGCAGCTGCATGCATTTTACATTTAATTGTTTTTGCAACAAATGTTGTGATATCATGTTTTACCCACAATTCCTTGCTTGAAAATTAAAATGGTGGCCGACGTATACTATTTAAAAAGTATTAATAAGAACGAAAAGTGATTGAAAAACTGTAATTTGCATTCCCCTTGCATCTTTCATCTGAGAGCACCATGCTGATAATCCAGTACATATGTACAGTGAGTACTTATCGCTCCCTCGGCGTACATAGTATTTGCATAATCACATACACAATTACTTTTAAGTTTTACTTAATTTCAGCAACCTGCTCCCCTGGGACGTATTCTGTGAAAGGTCTCGAACCATGCGCCCCTTGTCCTATCGGATTTTATCAGACATTTCGTGGACAGAAATATTGTCTTCCATGCGATGATCATCTAACTACGTACGGCATGGGAACAGTATCTGCGGAATATTGTCAAGGTAAAAACAACTTTGAAAAGCTGCATGACTGTGATGTAACAAGTTTGACAACATTCGATTTATGCATGCGTTCGATAAAATATTTTATATAGATATGTCTGTAAGACCAACAATGAAACAATAACATGATTTTAATACCAATAATTCTACCACGTCATATATTCACTCATACATTTATATTCCTTCTTTTCATTGTTTTAATTAGTTGTCGACTCCTGTTCTTCCAGTCCATGTCACAACAATGGTGTGTGTGAGAACCACGACGTGTCATATACATGTGACTGTGCCGTGGGTTACACCGGAAGTAACTGTGAAATTGACGTAGATGAGTGTCAGTCAAGTCCATGTGCGTTCAATTCTACTTGCCTTGATAGAGGTAAGAACTGAATAACGTTGTATACAATGGAATATCTGTTTTTGCTGATGGAACCATTGCCAATCAATGCAGAAATGTGACGTCATACAACGAAGAAGTGTGACGTAATAAATGCAGAAGTATGACGTCATAAAATACAGAAGCGTGTCGTCTTACATTTTAAATGGAGATTTCAAGTTTGGGTCAGATATTTTCGTCGATTTTTGGAAATGTGTTCATATTAAAAACATATGAAATATACAACAATTCTCTTCCTACAGTGAATGGTTTTCAGTGTGTTTGTACACCTGGCTACAAGGGACAACATTGTGAAGTGGAAATAAACGAGTGTTTAATGGCTTCGTGTTTGAACAATGGACAATGCCAAGACGAGGTGAGCTTTTTTTATTACACTTCGTATTACATTGTGGTTATACATTCATCATATCATGGCAAATTTAGTTTTGTTAACTCCCATTTATAATTGCCGCATTCTGACAATATTGTTACTGATATTTATTGTCAGATTGATGGGTACCACTGCATCTGTGTCGAAGGTTTCACTGGTGAGTTTTGCGAGATACAACCAGACAACTGCGCCAGCGATCCATGCCAGAACCAAGGATTGTGTATAGATCACGCTGATGGATTCGTCTGTGTATGTCGAGATGGTTTCGATGGTTTGCATTGTGGGCTCAACGTGGACGAGTGTCAGTCAATGCCTTGCCTAAATGGAGCACGGTAAGTGTCAAGGATTTAACAAATTGTAATGTCGTTTCCATCCTAATAATAAGTTTGAATCAAAGAATGTCAAATATATATTCATATATAGATATAAAATATTTGCACTGCGCTACTGATATTTAGATTGATAAAAGATGTAAAATATTGTGATCATTTACTTAGTATACGTTTCTCAACTTTGTTCCATATGGTTAGTCCAATGCTAACTTATTGTTGCTCTTGTCGTCACTTGTAGCTGTATCGATCTCGAATTCGACTATGAATGTGAGTGTACACTCGGCTATACAGGGCAGAACTGTGAAGTAAACATAGATGACTGTATTCAACATCAATGTGAAAATGGCGCGACGTGTCAAGATGGCGTTAACACCTATACCTGTCGGTGTTCACCAACATTTTCCGGCCGATACTGTGAAAATAGTGAGAATGAACATTTACTGTTTGCATGTTTTTATTACTAATTACTGACCGGCATGCCACTTCTGATTGACTAATTGGTTCAACGTAATTTTATATAGTAGATATTCTTTCTAAATATATATATATATATACAGTATATTGGTTTGTGAGTTCTTGTTTCCTGCTTTAAAACTACGTGGGGTTACGCGTTCAATATTCAACGTACGTATTCCAAAACGATAATTAAATCATGTGGGATAAGTGCAGTCTGATATATGTTTATCTTTCTCTCTGTAGAAATGTCCGATGACTTTGATCTGTTGTTCACCAGACCGGTTACTGCTGATGTTGCAATTCTGCGTGACAGAGTGCCATTGCTAGAAGCATTCACAGTAATGTTCTGGATGAAAACCAACGATACCAGTAACTCCGGGACGCCTATGTCATACGCTACAATGGATGGTAATGACACTGAGTCTGACGCCATTGTGTTAACTAATTATGCAGGATTCAATCTGATGGTCAACGGGGAGACGGCGTACACTGATGTAGCTCTCAATGATGGGACGTGGCATCACGTGGTAGTCACGTGGACAAACAGAGGTAAATAATGACACTATATTTTACAGGTTTATTTCGAATGAATTGTATGATGTATATATAGTGAGGTAAGTGTAACTGTAGTTATTACGTTAATACATGTTAAAGACATGTGCCAAATCAGTCACGTATGGTTGGTTAACAGGTGGTGCTTGGCGATTCTACGTTGATGGTGTTTTGGCATCTACAGGAGAGCATCTACGCGACTCCGATGTCATATTTGGAGGAGGTGTCTTGGTTGTTGGACAGGAGCAAGATGAGCCATCTGGAGGGTTCAGCCCAGTCGAAGCATACATAGGCCACATTAGCAAGTAAGGCCAGTCTATTTACTGATGTCAGTGTTGTCTATATGTAAACTAAAACTAAATGTGTTGAAAAATCGTTCAATTGCATTTTCGTATACAACAAAAATATTACAGGCACATTTACGAAGATATCATTATGAAACAAAAGATTCGAACTCGCAACTCAGGAACTGCGCCTCGTCAATGCAAGCAGACGTGTTCCCTGTTACGACACATCACAACATCTCTACAATAAGTTCACGGGCGCACAAATCTACACAAAATTCAAGTAGTTCTATCAGTTGTATACATACTGAGCCTATGAGTATTGACACTCTGTCTCTATTTAGACACTGACTAAACAACATTAAGACATTTCCAAAAGTCCTTATAATTCAAAGCACGGCAGATATTTGTAGCTGGACATACGAGATTTATGAATGATGTACACCAAACCTACAATATATACATGGTATAAACAGATTTATACACACCGACTGTTGGTAATTCATTGCTGCTCTGTGTATTCAGATCACGAATGCAGATTGATACAGTACACTAATGTAGATTAATACAGTACGAAATGTATTCATTATCTTCTCAATTTCAATTATAGATTAAATATTTGGGACTATGTCATGTCTGCTGAAAGCATTGTAATCATATCCGGTTGTTGCTATGGTACACCTGGTAACGTTGTCGCGTGGTCTGACTTTAAAAATAATATTTATGGTAACGTCGAAATAACAAGTCCATCAAAAGTTTGTACAGGTATTTGATTTTATGTGTTTATGTCTACATACTTAAAGCGCGGTAGTCGTCGTGCTGCGCATGTTCGACATTTGTGTTGATAAACATTGATTTTGTCACAATCCAATGCGCTCTTCAAATGGAAATCACAAGTATGAGGTTTGACCTGGGCGCGACTTGCACTGATCACCGCCAGTGACTCCTTCGTTACCTTCCAATCACATGACAATTACCTAATTAAATCTTGGAGACGTGTCAGTTAGTACTCGTTGATCTGCTCAACTATGATGAAATTGTTTTTGCGTATCTGTTAATCGACTTAATTAACGAATGGATGTGTTATGTCTGGCATCGTTTGGGCCATTTGAGTTTCCAGACGGAACTTGGTTCAGTGATTTGGAACTAATTACGAGATAACCGTCGCTATTCGGACTATTATTTCTGACAGTTCGTATTCGCAATTATTAATGTAGTGAACGATTAATCAAAAGACATGACGTATTCAGTGCTTAGTGCGATTGGCTGTATGATTGAAGGTTACGCCTTATAGTCTTTTAACTGTATTATAATTGGTTAATGTTTTGAAAATGAATAAAGTTGTTTTTAGTTGGTCTTGGCGAGCACACAAGGACAGAGGCAGTCCATTCCTGGAGAGTCTTGGGGCGAGTGTTGACACAGTCTTGGACAGAGTCTTGGGGCAGCCTTGCGATAGTCTTGGGGACTTTTCCCAAGGGCGCTGTGTCTTATAGAGTGGTCGATTACCGACTAAGACGAGAGTTGAAACGTATTTTGTTGTGTGTGTCTATCTGACTGTAAGGCTTAAGTGACTTTCCCGATCCCGCACCTCAAGGGGACGAGATATAGAGACAGAGACGACATTCCCCCCTGGCACGTGTGGAGAACCCAGAGGAGAAGAATTCCCCCTGATACAACAGTTAAAGTCGCCATCTTTGTTTATGTGAGACCCACGACTCACACGGCAACAACAGATAACTCAATATTTTCAATTATACAGTTAACGGTTGACCACGGTCTTGTGAAATACACTGTTGTTTTCAATCATGATTGATTGCCTCATCTTTTTACAGGGGACAGTTGTGGTTTCGAAAATGATAAATGTCATTCGCAACTATGCCACCATGGTGGGACATGCTTGGATGAAGCTGGCTATATCGTATGTGTGTGCCCAACAGGATATAGTGGACTACTCTGCGAACTCGGTAATGTTATTATTAATCACATCGCATATTGTTCTTGGTAAACAAGGGTAATGGAAAGAATTGCGTCTGTCTTATGTGGAGGGCCTTGATTTCAATTATGAGTGGAAAGTTTTCATTCATTTGAGCATATGTAGTCTAAATGTTTTTATCTAGGCCGGCGTTTTTTTTCTCTCAACGGACACATATTTATTTTCAATATTGCTTGCATGTTCTGACAACTTTAACCTAATAAGATTTCTAGTCCCAATCCGCACATTCGTTTGTTTGTTTGAATGATCGATGATAAAATGATTTGCCATATATAATATAACTTGCACCGCAAATTATCGATCTGCCACACTCAATGTCTGGTGTCGTTCAGTGAATACTTTCGATTGCTTTTCCGATCACGTAATAAATAGACAATGCTATTCCTTTCATATAAGTAATTATTGGATAGGACTGTTAAATGTATTAAGTAGAATGTTTTCTGCTAATCAGAGACAAGGTGTGGTTCACCACCTGAGATAGAACATGGCAATGTGATCACAGATAACGAAGACCTACTGGTTGGAACAATTGCTGACTATACATGTGACAATGGATATGATCATTCTGGTGTTAGCTCTTTATCGTGCATGAATGATGGACACTGGGAAAATAATAAAGTCGGATGTTCAGGTAATTTACACATTTTGTGTATAAGATGTACAATATTTATCTTACATACATAGATACATTGCAGTATTCACATAATTTATACAATTGTGTGCACATGCCTACCATAGGCTTACATTGGTCTCACTTCTTCTGTGTACACATTTTCAATGAAATGCGGGTAGTTCATTCCCCTGGTTTTGTGTTTGCTAAGATTTGCAGTTGTTCATTTACTATATTATATTGAACTGAATATTCCAAACGACTGTATGTAACAGTCCCTCGTGATGAATAAAATGATGAAATAAAACGTGTCATAAATTGACATACATTTCAGATTACAATGAATGTCTATCGGATGACTCAATGTGTCAGCATCTATGTATCAATTCTAATGGGACGTATGTGTGTGACTGTAACCAGGGATACCAATTACATTCCGATGGCCATACCTGCATAGGTAGGTTAATACGTCGTGATCCAAATATCAAATTATATCCCATTGAATCTTTGCTCTTAAAGTTAATATACCATTCAATGTAATTTTGTAGAGCACGTGTTAATATTACATTATTTGTAATTCTTTGATGGTATTGCTGT